AGGGCTTCCACTTGCTGGAAACGAGGTGTGGAGGGCGTTGAGAGAAGGGAAGCAGCAGCAGGCAGGCATTGCCATGTCCCTTCTCAAACCTTTCATCTAGTGGTCACTGGAGAGCAGGGACTCTGCTATTGCTAACAGGTGGCCACCCTAGAGCAGACCTGGGACCCTGCCAGGGCTGCCCAGGGACCTCACCCATGAGTCCAGAGGCATGTAACACTGGTGGCGGTGGCTTGTCCTTAACGATTGGGGGAGGAAAGAGGCAAGGTGAAGAGCAGGCGAGTGAGGGTGGCTGACCATGGCTCTGCAATGACAATGGGCCACCTAATGGTCACAAGTCCCTGGGCTTCACCCTCCTTTGGGCCAGCAGGGCATGCCGTGGACCTGACAACAGGGCTAGTTACGTACATTGGCACCCCTTAATGCACTGACAGTGAGATGTCAAGTGAGGAGGAGCCATTCTGGTTCTCTGTACAATACATCCATTTATAGGACCGGCCAGTACTGTGTACAATGTATAAATACATGATAAAACATCAGAGGTGCATAGAGCATACTTACAGAAGCCCACAAGTCCACTGTATACATCCAGGAAGGAAGAGTTAAAAATATAAAAATAGGACACACACTGCTTTGAAATGTAAAAGGACTTTCCCGGACACAGGTGTGGAGACGCCCACTCCCACTGAGTCCAAAGGCGGCAGAGACAGGAGGGGGCACGTGGAGGAATTCCTAACCAACTTCTGGACACGTGGCTTCAAGGTCGACAGACAAGCAGCTCTCCAGCCCCATTGTCCAGGTGGCTCCAGCCAGGGGAGGGCACCAAGGCACCATGTCCGCTCAAACCAGCCAGTGACTGAACTGTGACCCTGTGATCAGATCAGCAGCTGCTCCCAAGTTACCTTAACCCTGTGCTGGCCACTTTCCCAAACACAGTAGCAAAAGATGATAGGTGTGGACAGTGGAAGACAGGCATTTCTTCTCAGGTCAGTGAGGCCCCTTGGGGGGAGGACACAACCTTGTTTCAAGTTCCTCTGGGTGACAGGTGGGATCCCGACGCCACCCCAGGCTCAGACATCGGCTTGAGTGCTTGGATTAGCTGGCCTTGGGCAGCCCAGTGGGCCCCCACAGGGTGGCTACATGAGAGGGGCTGTGGCACTGTGAACGTCAGGAGAGGCTAGGGTGCGCTTGCCCGCAGACAGAGACCATCATTTCAGTGAGACTCTGTTTCCAGACTTAAGATCGTTATCAAAATACACACAGCATACAGCTTTTCCCATGGCCATACTTTCTTATCTCACCACAAGGCACAGCACACAGAGCTTTGAGGGGCCGATACAGTCATCGTGACAGAACGCACCGCAGCCTTGGCACATGGTCATGGCTTTCAGGCTGCATGCACATTGGAGCGAGAGGCTCTCCACTGCGCTGCTGTCGGTGAACATCTGCAGGGACAGAGACGCGCTGTGGCTCGTGCCAAAGTTTGCTTTGTGGCTCAGCTGCACCACACTTCCAGCCAGGCCTTTGGCAAACGTGGGAGAGCTGGAAGTGTAATTAAAGCTGGTGGAACTTAGCTGGAGTTTAGAGAGCTTCCCATAAAATGCCTGCTTGATATTAAGCTGGGAGGGGAGGGAAGAAGGCTCCAGAGGCTGCGCCAGCCCCTTCCCAGGCTCTCGGGGTAGCTTCCAGAAGGGCAGGTCCATGACAAAGGGCATGCCTTGAAGATGCTCCATCAGCTCCAGGGGGCTGCGTCCGAGGGCCCGGCGGTTCTCTGCATTCATCTTCAGGGCGCCCCCTGCTGCAAACTTTTCGGGCTTTGTGCCACTGGCGGAGGCAAGCGGCGCCCGAGACACAGAGCTTTTGCTGGGCCCCAATGGCCTCCCGGGAACACCAGGAGGAGCATCAGCAGGCAGTGGTGCTGGGTCCACAGACCTGGGGCCCTGAGGGGTCACAGCCATATTCTTAGAGCCAAAGAGCTTCTTCCCTTGGTCTCCTAGGGACCGACCTGCTTGGTCTGGACCACAGGAGATGGCACCAGGCGACAAGAAGCTTGGGACTCTCGAGGTAGTGAATGTCCCTGGGTTTCTGCTGGGAGCAGCACCAGAGGGTCTGCATGGGGACATGTCCTGGGCTTTCTTTTGATCTTCCAAACCAATGGAAGAGAACTGGCTTGTGGAATCCATCTCCTCTTCCAGTTTCCCAGAGGCGGCCGCTTGACTCCTCACTGGATGCAGGGGATCTGGACAACTCGGGACTGTCTCAGAAACCATGGGAGGCCCTCCAGAAGCCTGGGTGGCTGCGCGCTCCATACGAGCAGTGCTGGCCTCGTGAGGCAGAGGCGGTGCCTTCAAAGCTCCCGGGGTCCTGGGGTTGCTGTGGCCAACTGTGTGACTGGCCCCTCCAGAATCAGACAGAGATACCAACCTCGGTGCGCCACCATGGCTGGGCTCTTTTGGAAGCGGGAGTTGAAAGGATTCTGATTTGTTGCCACCCTGGGCTGAAGGAAGAACTTTTTCCAGGGGTAAACTCCCCTGCAGTAACTGCATCACAAGCGGGCTCGAGGCCTCCACTGAGGACCCAGACCTGTCGAGGCACACGGGCTTCAGCTGGTATTCAGAACTGGCCAGCAGCAAGGAGTCAGGGATCTTTTGGGGACCCGCACACACCCGAGACACCCAGCTCTGAGTACCAATCATCCCATCTGTCCTTGTAACCACACCCAGGTCCCCATTCTTTTTTGAAAGCGAGGTGGAGGAGCTCCAGCGGAGTCTCTCGTCCTTTTCCATGACCCACGGTCCCATCTTCCTGGCGGCTTCCCCGGGCTCGGCCTCACTGTTATCCTCGGCAACGCTGCCTTCACAGTCCGAGGCAGTGTCTGTGGACTCACTGTGAGGACTCAGGGCCTCAGAGTCACCATCAACCTCGAGCTTTTCACCTGGGACCTGCTTGCAGATGCCGTCAGTGCTGCCCATGCCTTGACCCGGCACTGCCCAGAGTGCAGGAAGGTGGCCTGGGGTACCAAGATGCTCCTCATTTGTCAACCTCCCAAAGAATGCAGTTACATCGGGAGCGGCTGTCTCCCACTCTTCTGCAGCCGGGGGCTCAACGACAGACAGGACCTTTTCTCCGGCATTAGGGCCAGGCTGTGCCACTGCCTGGTCTCTCGAAAGCTCGGCCATCCTAGGAGCCACAGCATCAGCCTTGAGCGGCTTGGCTTTCAGGTCTTCTTGTCCAGTAGCACTTTCCCTCGAGGGTGGGGGGCGTGAGCTACCAAGTTCTAATTCATCATCCAATGGTCTGTCCTGCAGGCAATCAGCCAATGAGGAGCCTGGGGTGGGACTGGGGGTCACATTTACAAGATCCTTCGAAGAGGGATTACCAACTAGAGCCTGGCCAGGGCCTTCCTGCAATACAGTTTCCTGCACCAGAGCCTGCACAGGACCAATCTCCAGGGGAAGGAGGGGCTCTCGCTCTTCACACTCCTTTTCCCAGCAAGTGGCACCAGAGCCACATTCAGTCCTAAGATCTAGATGCAGCCTTGGCTGCACAGCCAATGGCTCAGCTCCTGGGGTTTGGGAGGACAGTGGGGGCAGGGCCTGGCAGGGCTGGTCCCCAGTGGGAGCAATGTGGGGCTGAGAGGCGTCTTCTACACTGGCACCCTGCTGTCCGGGGCCCCTGTCCTCCCTCCTGGCTCCAGCTGTGGCAGGACCAGCTTGGACCCACTCCCCATTCACAGGACAAGGCGGCAGTAGTTGTGCTCGCTGTAGATCTGACGCGCATTCTCCAGGGGTGCTCTGGGCTCCCCCGGGCTCAGGGTGGCCACAGGCCTCACCACCATCACCAGCGCTGCTGCCTCGGCCACCTCCCTCATCAGTGGCCCTGCCGCCACCTCCACCCGGGCCACCCCCCCCTCCGATGGCAGTGGAGGCCGCCTCTCGCTGGGCTCGGGCCTGCAGAGCACGGGCTTTAATGTCTGCGAGGGTCCTAGCACCGGTCCGACCCCGGCTGGAGGACTCTGTGACAGGGACGATCCGGGGGCATATCTGGTAAGCGGGCTGACCTTTAACCACCCAGGGTGGTTTGATGCGTGAAAGTTGAATCTGCAAGAAAAAAAGAAAAAAAAAGAACTTAGTTTTAACTGAGTGGTACTCTAACCTAGGATAGGACCTCAAAGCAAAACTGGACCTAAGAGACTGAGGGAACCAAACCAAGTCACCCTCCTAAAACCCAAGACTCACTGTGAAACGAGGTTCGCCGTACCCTTCTCGAAGATCCCCCTATCTGGCTCACTTCTAGCAGGCCTTCATGAGTCCCCACAGCAAGGACGTCAACACCACCCACCAAGATGAAAACTTCTGAAAGACCCTGACCTCTAAGAGCACACCAAGGAAAGCCCTCTCCTATAGAAAATTATCTGCTCCCCTGCAAGGGGCCTATTGCCCCTGAGATGCAGACTCCAAGCAGTCAGGAAGCCATCAGTGACCTACCCGGATGGGCGGGACTTTGGGCTCCTCTTTAGTGGGCTGTGGCTTTTCGGTGTGAACACTTTCAATTGTGTTACGAAAGGACTGACGATCTTCAAGCCGGGGCTTCTTTTCGGGAAAGGATGCAGAGGCCGCCTGCTCAAAGGATTTCCTCTTCTGGTCCTTGGGCTCCTGGTCCACAGTCTCCTGAGGCAGGCTAGGAATTCTGTCTGTAGCTGCAGAGGCACACACCAAATCTCCTGGCTCAGTCTGGATCTGGGAAGCCGCAGGCTCTGCTGGGACTTCAGGCCCCTCTGGGCCAGGTGCTGGAGAGGACACGCCTGGCAGGTGAGAAATGCTCACCCCGGTTGAGTCGGCCTCAGCCTCTTCGAGAGGTGTGTCTGGTGCCACTGACTTCCCATCTGTAGCCATCACTGCAGCTTCTGGCTCCTGTTTTTTGTATAGATTCCTTCTGGCTCTGGTTCGGAGATCTGGCCGAGAGCGTTTCTTGAAATGGCCGTCCCGCTGCCGGGTGGCCAGAGCACGTTGTAGCCGTGCTGGCTCTCCTGAGACACGTAAGTCACTCTTGAGTTCAGCCTCCTCCTGGCCCGTGTTCTGCTGCAGGGACTCTTCTCTGGTCAGACCCAACCTGAAACCAAACCACATGATACCATCAGTTACAGGCCAGAGAAGGAACACCTCCTTTATTTCCAGGCTTCTCCGAGCGGAATAGGTACAAAAGAAGTCGTTGCGGTGCTAAGACCAGGGAAAAATGCCCCCAAGCCGCACTCTGAAGGGCATCAGCCAAAATGGGCAGAGGGACTGCAATCTCCACACTGCTGGCCAAACACCAAGTATGTACCTGCCTCAGCGCCCCCAAGAGCCCAGCCTTACTTCTGGCCATAGTAGTCCTCAAAGAACTTTTCCTTCCACTGCTCCACCTTCTTTTCCTTCTCCATCTCCTGTCGTATCCTGACTTGCATCTCATGAGTGAATTCACCTGGAGTGAGAGAAGCCTAGTCTAGTGAGTGCATTCAGGTTAGTAACATCTGCCTTTAACGCACTGCTGTTGATGCCGACTCATAGCGACCCTATAGGGCAGGGTCAAACTGGCCCTGTGGGTTTTCTGAGGCTCTTTATTGAACCAAAAAGCCTCATCTTCTCCTGGTGGTTTCAAACACACTAACACCATCTTGTGAACAAGCAAGTCTGGTCTACCACATCATGCGTTTTCAAAATACACGTGACTTGCAAGGACTTGAATATGCCATCTCCTGCAGAGGACCTCTCATAGCAAGTTCATCCCTAGGACAGACAGAGCTAACTTGTCCAACATATGGGAGAGTGATGCTCCCCCAGAAGTGGCCACCGGCCATCCAGTAGCAAGCAATGGACTTCTAAAAAGAAAAAGGTGATAAACCACTCTGCCTCCCTAACCAAGTTACCCAGTGGGGCCAACAGCTTCTCAGAGAAAAGGTCTGCTTCCCAGGTTGGTCCTTGGCTGGCATCTGGGACTGTGGCTTTGGTGAAGGCTCCCTCCACCTAAAACTCAGGTGCCACGTTTATGCAAACAATATGGCTCATGCTCAACAGCTGCTTTCCCTGAGAGAGCTTGGAATTTGGGTACACACCAGGCAGGTTACCTATCTGATGAGACTCCAGTGAAAAGCCTCATTAACTTCCCTGGGAGTTAACACTGTACGCATCTTACCGCAGCTCGCTGGCTTCCCCCCACCCCTGCCCATGTACCCCCTTTGCTGACTTCTCTTCGTGCCTTTTTGTCAGATCAACCACCCACCTATGCCACCTTCCCTACAGCCAGGATGAGTGGGGAAGAAGAGGGAGTGAAGAGGAGACAAGAGGCGGGTATATATGCAAACACTTGGCCGAAGTCCCCAGAGAAAGGGCCGGTCCTCCCACACACTCCGAGCCTTTTTTTACGAGTGGCACATTCATTCATTCATCCTTTTGCGGGGGGTGACTCTCAAGCAACTCCAAACTCACTGCTGAAGAAGCTGACTCAGAGTGATCCTATAGCACAGGGTAGAACTGCTTCTGTGAGTTTCCGAGGCTGTTAACTCTATATGAGAGTAGAAAGCCTGGTTTCTCCTCGAGATCAGCCGGTAGTTTCAAAGCGTTGACCTTGTGGGTGGGTTTAGATTCAGAGCCTGCTTATACTAAACACCCCTTGAGAGATCAAGAGGAGGCTGACAAAAAAAATGGAGCTTGGCCTTTAAATAGCAGGAGGGCACCTTCAAGGTGGCAAAGAGGATGAAGGCTACTTACCGTCAGCCAGGCGCTCCCGCCAGCTCTGAGCTGCATGGGTGAAAAACTCGTTATTCAGTGCACTGCTGCTGAGACGCAACAGACCATCTGTTCCCACCTAGAAGGTTCAAGACAAAAATAAATGAAAGGAACTTAGGAAAAGAACTCCACCCACTGGGAGCCCGAGAAGAGTCGCCCAGGCACACCTGTCTATCCACTTCAGGGAGGAGGAGGAGCAGCTGCTGCTGGAAGGGGCATGGCAGAGCGTGGAAGGTCCGAGAGTTGATCAGGGCACGGAGGTTGGTGTTGACCAGAATGGACCCAGGCGTCTCAAAATCAATCTCCTCCCCTCTGTTGCGTTTCATTTGGCCTGTGATTTTTGAAGCATGAGAAGGAAGGTATGCGTTTTCATCGCAAAGGTGAACAGTGAATAGCAAATAGCAAATGCCAATTGCAAGGAAAACGCCGGGGCATCACCATGTGGCCGGCTCATCTCCCAGTCCACCCCAATTGGAATTGGGCAACCACTCCTTCAGGTGACCAAGACACAGCTGGGCTTGTCCTCTTAGAAAAACGGGGGGCCATGCTGTGTCATCAACTGAAAGGGACATTCTTTCCTTGGACAAACCAGGCAAAGGGCAGGTTCTCAGCTTCTCTTCAAAACTGGAGAACAGGCTCCATCCACTAAGCCCAGTGGGAGGAATGATAGAATTGTCTAACAGCAAATGCAGTTAGTGTGCTGGAGAAAAATCTGTCGAAGCCTTCTGTGAAAGGGCCAAGCTGTCTGTTCTCCAGGCTGAAGTATGATGAGGGCTGCTCAGAGCCAACCGAAATGCCAATACCTCTCACACAAGTCTGGGCAAACGCTACTCTTAATAGAGAACTACGAACAGAGAGAGGCCTGTCAAAGCCTTGCTCAGTGAGCTGAGGCAGCAGCAAGGCCACACACCCAGTTCCCACTTGGACAATGGACTATCCTCATTTTCAGAAGCCACGGCTAGTTTTAATGGTTTAATGTGGCCCATGGACAAAAATCAAAAACAAAAAGTATGTGGCCTGTAAGAAATCAACCCTAGAAGCACAAACAGCATAGTTACTTGGCTGAATGCAAATGTCTTACTAGGAGCAGGGGGTGATCAGGGGGTACACACACCCTGTAGCGCTGTTAAATTTGTTTGCACCCCCAAAATTCAACCTATGCTTCTACTCAGCATACTGACTAGGCTAGGGAGAGGAAATCGGATAGAAACTGCAGATGTTGCAAACAAATGTGGCAGGATCCTACCAAAGGAAAACAAACACATGTTGGAATCTTCACTGAGAAGCTGACAAACCAATTTCCCTGAGCACACACCCCCAACAACGCAGCATGCCAAGCACCAGGCTAGATCGTGACGGAACATACAAGGACCACTGTGGTGCCATCTCTGTCCAAAGCTTAGCAAATGTCCAATAAGCAAAGTACAAGGTCAAACAAAGAGAGCCACCCAATTAGTAAACTAGTGAAGGAATTGGAGAAGGCAACAGTTCCTGGCTAGGCCGGCTGGTCCCCTGTACAGGCAGAGAAACGAGTGTCAAGCCACTCACCTGTGGCTGGCTTCCGGAAAGCTCTCAGGAGCGGGGCAGGGTCCCGTGTGACCTCGGCCTGGCCACGAATAGCAGTGCTGCCCAGGGCCAGAGAGCCACTGCTGCTGCTTGACGGGCTACCACTCTCACCATCAGCGGGGCGGCCCAAGAACCCTGAAGGCACAGAATTCCACCAGTCAAAAGTCTCACAGGCCGCACCCAGGGGTCTCAGACAAGCTCACTTCTCCCAGTTCTCCAGGAGATGCTGCCAGCAACCCCAGGGGCTTCTACAACCAAGCCTGGGGCTGTCAGAAGTCATCACTTCATGGTCTGGCTTTCAAATACCTCCCTAAGAATGCCAAGCCACCACTTTACATCTGGTACAGCACGGCACTGTCTACAAAGCACGTGTACCCGACTTCATTGGATGGATCCTTATGACTATCCTGTGCGGGAAAGAGGCAGGCACAGGGCAGAGCCTGGTGCTAGTACTAAGTTAGACCTCGTCACCACAGCATGTTACCTTCCAGGGCGTGGCACTGGACTGGGGCTATAACCAGTTGAGGTCAAAATGGCAGAGAGGGAACAGGCCCAAGGCCTGAGGCAGAGACACCACGGTCATGATGCACACGTACCTGTTGCGGATTCCACGTGGGCCCCGTTTACCTTCAGAGGTGTCAGGACAACTCGAGGGAGCATCACCCCAGTCTTTTTCTTTTGCTTGCTTGCCTATAATCCAAGAGGAAATTAATAAGAGCCGTACACACTGGTCTGTGGTTAAAACCTACTAGCTACATTGCAGGAGAAAAGATGAGGCTGGCTTCTCCCAGACAGATTTACAGTCTTGGAAATCCCAAGGAATAGTCCCAACCCTGTCCTATAGGGTGGCTATAAGTAGGAATCAACTTGATAGCCACGGATCTTTGGTTGTGAGTATCTGCAGGGGCACAACCACAACCGGACTCCCTCTTGATATCACTCTCCCAATCCCTGGTGAAAATAAGAGTTTGCATTCAACCACAGCTGCAGTGCCTGTTACTGAGCCACACGCTGGCCACCATGCCAAACTCTTTACATGCAACATCTCATCGTCCCATCTTCACCCTGCACTGAGGAGAATGTATTCTCTTACATCTACCTTACAGGTAAGTAATTTGCCCAAGGTCCCAAAGCGGTTAAGTGTCAGGTCCAGAATGAAAGATGCGGTCTATCTGACTTCCAAGCTCATGTTCTCACTGCTCTGCCTTGTTATAAGTCTCCCTCAGATGCCGTCTTTGTTTCAAGAGTGAACAAAGTCACCCAGCCTCGAGTGGAGAAAGAGCACATCTTTTCCCTCTCCAACAGTAGTAACTGCCATGGATTCACAGAAGCAGCAGCCTGTCTCCCGTCTCCACTCCACCCAGTCCCCGTGTGCCTCCCCACCTGCGAGGAAGCTCTACAGCTGTCCCTGGGACTGGAAAGAGGCCGACTCTGAGACTCTGTAGAACAGGATGCATTTGAAGATGTTTCATCAAGAGACACTGGAAGAGAGGAAAATACAGCTTAGTTCCTAGGAACTGTCGTGGTGCTTCAGCGGTCTTGTCAGGGTACTTACCATCATTTTCCCCACTCACAGTGCTAGCTTCATTAGACCCACAGCTCTCCACGTCGGCTGTGTCCTCAGGCTCCTCTCCCTCCATCCCAGCTGGGTTTCGAGACCACTGCAGGGCATCTTTCTGTGCAGCAAAGCACAACTCAGGTCAGCAAAACCCTATGGATCCTTTAAGTGCATGCTGTCATGTTCCACCAGGTCCATTCCGGCCCAGAGTGACCTTAAAGAACAGAACTGCAGGTCTTTGCTCCCATGGAATAGTTGGTGAGTTCCGATTGCTAACCTTCAGGTGGTCAAGAACTTAACCACTGCCCACCCAGGCTCCTTTGCAAGCCTATCAACCACTCCTAACTCCGTGTGCTTTCTGAAGAGGGAGACTTAGAGAAATAGTCTAGATAATGACATCCTTTCAAATGGATGCTTTTGTTTAGTAAGTTGTTTTCAAACATACATCAAGATATAATTTTATATCCAAATCATTCACTAAATATGTATGGGGTGCCTCCTATAAGCTACCAGGGGTGTGGGCAGTATAGTGGCTAAGTGCCTGGCTGCTAACCAAAAGGCTGGCAGTTCAGACCCACCAGCTGCTGTGTGGGAGGAAGATGTGGCAGCAGCACTACTCTGACCTGTAGGGACACACTATGAGCTAGAAACGGACTCAACAGCAGCAGCTTGGTTGGTTTTTCCTATCAGCCACACCACGTGAGTCCCCCGCCCCCGACTTTCAATCCCAGTGATGCTTTGTAACTGAATTATTTGATCTTCCTTCACATTTCTAGCAGAGTAGATATTCAGATATTAATTATTCCCACCCACTCAAAAACTTTCACTTTAAAATTCAGATGAGAAACCGAGGAGGAAAGACACTGCAATCACCACACAGGAAGCCTGCATCCTACAGTGACCCTGACAATCTGGGGCGGGGGGAGGGCCCACCTACCATGAAGATTAATCAAGGAGGGTAGAAAATCTAAAGGATTGCAATACAAAGGTGCATACAGAGAAGGGCAGCAGCTCGGAAGAAGGCGTGCAGGAGACAGTTGGGGAGAAGGAGGAATGGTACGCAGAAAGTGTCAGGGGGCAAGACTTCCAAGGGGGTGTGCTGCTTGAATGAAGTTTTAAAAGAAATTAGCTACTAAGCAGATAACGTGGCAGGAGGGGTTTGTAGACAGTGCAAATGTGAAAGAACATTCCATTCCACACTGGTAGAAACTGTAGTTTTAAGGGTGTGAGGAGCCAGTGAGTGAGGTGGACAGACAACAAGCCAGACTAAAGTCCAACAGGAAATGCTCCAGTCCTGGTAGTGAGGGCAGAGTAGACAGGAAAGCCTCTGCCCTGCCTCCCTCACTTAACAAAAAGAGCCTGCCAATGGACCTACTGCAGAGTCTCAGAATTCAGGACTAATTTCCAAGGAAGGATCTGGACAAGATGGATTGATACAGTGGCTGCAACAAGAGGTTCAAACATGAGAACAATTGTGAGGATGGCACAGGACAGGGCAGTGCTTCACTCTGTTGCACAAAGGGTCGCTGTGAGTAGGAACCAGCTGAAGGCACCACCACCACAATTGTCAAGGAGGGGCCTCACACTCCCCAATACCGAAGGGATGTGAATGCATGCTGCCAACTGGGAGGTAGAGCAAAGATAAGCAAAGAGGATTGTGTTGGAGAGGGGCTTCTTTTAGATTAAGAGTATATGAAGTAAAGTAGGTAAAAATCATGGTTCTATCCTTTAAAAACATACCGTAAATTTCTAAGGGGAACCTACAAAACTTTTACTCATCAATGTCAAGGTTCCCTTGATCTACTACACTGTTTTCATTAAATTAAGCCAAAGCAATACTGACTTACATTTTTTTAAAGAATACAATTTTAAAGTTTCAGGCCCCACCACCCCCAACTTGGCCTTAAATGCTCCTTAGGATTGAAAGCTAAAGAATATTTTTAACACTAATCTTGCAATCATGCTTATTTACTGACAGCTTTTTGGAATGATGAAACAAATCTAATCTCTGAATCTGAGTCAAACTAAAATAAAATACTCACTAAACAAACGAAAGAAATCTATTACATTGGCAAAAATGACCCCTAAACTCCCATCCTGCCAAGACTGTGGGGAAACCATGCACCCACTGTCAGTAGGAGTGAAAGTAGTATCAAAGGCTGACACACTACCAGTGTGAAAGTAAACGGTTATTAAAAAACAAACTATATACCTTTCAGCCCAAATATGAAGCATAAAAAGCCATATAAAGAAAAAAAAACCTTAACAAACTTCTTTAACAAAAAATATGCAAATTAAAATCACGATGAGATACCACAATAGCTAAAATTAAAGCTTGACAATGCTGAGTGTTAAACTAGGAAGCCAAACAGGTACACAGCAACCCGATTCAACCATTAGCAAATGTACAAATATGTTTGGCACCAACTGAGAACATAGTTTGGTACAGTTAAGATATAAACAAACATCCTATGACCCAGCAATATCATTTCTAGGTTTGGAGTCCCTAGAAAAATACTTATAGGAGTGTACTGACATTGTAAAGCATGTGAAGATTGGTCACGGCAATATTATTATTATAAGACTCAACAAGAAATAACCCAACTGGTGGCCATCAACAACAGTGTGGCGTCGGTGCCATCAAGTTGGCTCTGACCCATAGCAACCCTGTACACTACAGAACAAAACTGCCTGCTCCAGGGTGTTCCTCAAAGTTAGGGTTGAGTCCTCTGTTGCAGCCACTGTGTCGGTCCATCTGGTTATTACGGGTCTTCCCTTTCTTCACGTATCCTATGTCCCTTCCCTGTCCTCCAGGGACTTGTATCTCTTTATAATGTGTCCAAAATATATGAAGTGCAGATTTATTTGTGGTTCTTGCAGTACAAGATACTTTCAATATTCTTCATCAACACCGTAATTTATAGGCATCAATTCTTCTCAAGTCTTCCTTAATGCATATGAAGGGACTGAAAACACCATGACTTGGGTCAGATTTCCCTCAGTCTTCAAATGGACATCCAGACGTCTCTGTTCTTTAACACTCCCAAGAGGTCTTCTGCAGATTTTCCCAGTGCAATACAGCATCATTGTATTTCTTGACTGCTGCTTCCATGGACAATGACTATGGATCCAAGTAAAATAAAATCTTTGACAACTTCTTTTCTCCATCAACAGTAGAATCAATAAATGGTCAAGGTATTCATGAATGGACTACTACCCAGTTATAACACAAATGAATCAATGAATAAAACTACTTACAATATGCCATTATCTTAAAAATAAAATGTTGGCTGAAGCCAGACACACACAAAAATACACTATAATAATTTCATTAGTAAAAAGAAGTCCAAAAACAGGCAAATTTAAATTGTATTGTTAAGGATGCAAATACAGGTAGAAAAATGTTAAAGCAAGAAAATGACTTCCATAAAGCTAGGATAGCAGTTAACCTTTCGAGGGAGAAAGGAGGCTGTGATTGGGAAGTGGTACAATAGGTACTCCTGGCTGATGGCCATGTTCTATGCATTGACCTGGGGAGTAATCTAAAATTAGCCATCACCACTTTTAGGTGGTGAGTTGGAGAGCTTTTCTTTCTCCTCACTTGCTGATTTTTCTGTAATTGTGTTTTTTTTTAGTGCCATCAAGTCATTTCCAACTTAAAGCAAGCCTATGTAAAACAGAACAAAGCACTGACTGGTCCTGCACCATCCCCAGCAAGAAGCTTACATTTAAAAAATTCAAGTAATGACTGATCTTTCATGAATCCAGAATTATTTTTTAAATGCTACAAAATACAATTTGAGCTATTTGAACACAATGGCATACTGAATGTTAGTGTCACATTGCTCAAATGTGATAGGTGTGCTGTCAATAATTATTAAGTAGGAGAGCTTCGGTGGCACTATCCAGTAAGCATTTGGCTACTAATCACAAGATCTCAGGTTCTATACCATCAGCTGCTTCATGGGAGAAAGATGACACCATCTGTGCCCATAAAGATTTATAGCCTCAAACACCCTACACAGGGGCACTGTGAGTTACTGCAGTGGGCATGTACAAAACTATGCTTAGCTCTCTTGGGACTAGGGAACACAAATAGGAAGGATTTTTACCGTTTGAAAAATGGATATTCTTAAATTCTGCCTTCTTTTTAATTAGAAGTATAATTTACAAAGAGTGAAATGCAAAGATCTCACCAGCCGATGCATATCTTAACAGCATATAGAACATTTCCACAATCTCAAAAAGTTCCCGTGCCCCTTCTTAGTCAATCTTTACCCTTCTCCCACTGAAGAAATCACTGCTCTGATTTCTAGCACCTAAATGAGTTCTGCTTGTTTCTGATCTTCACATAAAGAGTCATACAGAAGGTATTCTCATTTGTGGTTGGCTTCTTTCACTGAGTTTAATGTTTATGAAATTTATCCATGCTGTTATAAGTATCAGCAGTTTATTGCTATTACAAAAGCAGAATTTATATATAAGCATTTACTTATTTACTCTTTTGAAAACTTCTGGGTTATTTCCAGGTTTTAATCATTATGAATAAAACTACTGTGAACATCCTCATAAATGACTTTTTGTGGACTTGCTTTTTTTTCATCTTGAGACAGCATAACTTTCTATTTATACACTTGTCTTAAGATACAAAACATTGACTATGAAATGGGAACTCAACCATATCCGTAAGATGTGCACAGATCCCGGGAGTCCTGTGGGCAGGAACGCAACCTGACAGCTCTGAGATCCTGACGCGCGAAGATCAGTCCCCTCGAAGAGAGCCAGTAGAGTTCCAGAGAGAGAATCACGCCCACCCCCCCCCCAAAAAAAAGTCTCTGTGTCCTTACACCCAGGAAATGGCTCAAGAGGAGCTCAAGATAGGTGGGCTGTGGACCCCATACCATGCCACCCCCATGCAGTCTACCGTGATATCAACATCCACAGTGAGCCCGCCACCCCCACGCAGTCCACCGTGATCGACATCCAGAGTGAGCCCCACGTGCCTGACCTTGTCATCTGGTCCCTCTTCAACATGCTCTTCCTCAACTGCTGCTGCCTGGGCTTCATGGCCTACGCCTCTTCCGTGAAGTCTAGGGACTGGAAGATGGTGGGAGACAT